ATACGCCCTCTTCCCTCTCTGGTGGCCCCGGGTCCCTGTGAGTGCCCAGTGGGTATCACCAAGGGTCACCCTGGTGCCCACCACCAGTCTGCCAGTCAGCCCAGCGTGATCCCCATTCCTGCAAGACACAGTGGGGGGGTGAGGGGGGCGGGCAGGTGAACCTCTGGTGCTGTCCTGGCAGTGAGGTCGGGTGCTCGCTGAGCCTTCCACTGCGGGCCAGCCTCCCCAAAGTCGCCCTCGCGAAGCCACCCCCAGTGACCACGTCCTCTGCAGAGCCTGTACTTTGGGTGTCTTTCTGGGCACCAGCGGATGGAAGGCAGAGGAAGTGATGCTAAGGTTCTGGCTCCCATGTTAGCGAACACAGTGGCCACATCTGCCTTGGGCCCACTGGGCCTGCTACTCCTGATTCTCCCAGTGGTGTCCCTCTAGCTCGTGTGACCCCACGGCTTCCTGGTGGAGGTCCTCCTCCTCCTCCATCTCTTTCAGATCTCCTTCCATGGATTTCAACTCACCATCCAGAGGCCGACCCTCCACATCTGCACACCACCATCTGAGGGTGTATGACGTGCTGGGCACTGGATGAATAGCAGCAACCAAAACAGACCCATGTGTCCAACCACCCCTGGAAGCCAGGCATCTCAGGCCACCTTTCCCCTCCCCTTCCTGGTATGGCTCCTCCAAATATGGCTCCTCCATCTACCCAGCTGCCCAAACCAAAGATGGGAGCCTCCTCCCACTAACGCTGTCTCCCTTGTCCCCTTCCTGCCATGGTGGGCAATGTACCTATAAGAAGCCTGACCACAGAGAGCCAGTGAGGAGGATAAGCTCAGGTTCATACCCCTCCTGTGTCTGCCAGCTCCCGGGCAGGGGGCATCCCCTCTGAGGACCCCCACGTCCTTGTCAGTAAAACTCAGGATATTTTCTCTGCAGGGTACAGAGAGGGACACGTGAGACTATTTATACATCCTCGAAAAGAGAGCAGATGCTGAAGCCAGATGGCCTGGGTTTGAATCCCGGCTCTGTTATGAAGGCTACGTGACCTTGGGCAAGTTACCCACCCTCTCTGTTTACTAGGTCAGACGTGTTTAAGAAACACCCAGAGTGGCCTAAGTAAGAAGCAGAAGAAGAGGTCAGAACTTCCACAGGCTTTTAGAACTTGAAGGGCCATATGCGAACTTTGGCTTTGACCCTGAGCAAGGTGGGAGGGACTGTGGGAGGGTTTGAGCAGAGGAGTGAGCCAATCAGATAATCGTTGTAAGATAATTCTTCCGACGGCAGTAGTGGAGGGTCAGTAGACAGGGGAGGCCAGAGAGGACACTTGGAGACCAGTCAGGAAGCCATCGCAATAGTCCAAGTGGTGGCTCAGAGCAGGGTGGTGACAGGGAGAGAACAGCCAGATTCAGAATGTGTCTCGGAGAAAAAGCTGACAGGGTCTTGAAGGAGACTGAGAAAGAGCCAGGAGAAGCCCCTGGAGAGGGCGGAATCACAGGAGCTGAAGGAAGAAGAAACAGGAGGAAACAGAATCAGCGGAGGCCCACGTCAGGGAGGCAGAACAGGGCCACTGGCTTGGCCTGAGGCTCGGCTCACAGGCCAGATGCTGCCCTCGCAGGCCTGGCCCACCCCCTCCAGGAAGTCCTCCAGGGCTCTCCATATCTGAGTCTCCGCTGATCTAGAGATCAAACTCCAGCTGGCACCCCCGCCCCATCCTCCAGGGCCAAGAGTGTTCAGAGACACCAGACATGGGAAACTGAAAATCTGAACAGCTCCCCCACCCACGGTTCCTTTCCCGCCACCCCACCCCCACAGTCTTGCCACCTGGCTGCGCTAATGAGTGCTCTATGATCCCTTAATGAGCACCCGGATGAGATCCCATCTTGGCACCCATAACCCGCTCTCGGCCTCGTCAGGGCCCTGCAGCGATGGCTGGTACTCGACATGGGCAAAGGACAGGCAGAGATAAGCCAGGCGGGCTTTCCCCGACTTAGCCTGAGCCACTGGTTATGTTAATGACATTGTCATCATTAAGTGACATTCCTGGAGCACTCGCTGTGCTCAGCGCTGAGCTAAGCTCAGTGATTCATCTAAACCTCTAGTGGTGGGATAATGGTCACACCCTCCTCACGAGACAAGACACTTGACCTATCAGGACTCCGTTTCTTCACCACAATATGGGGCCAGTAACGGGACCTACTTTACCGGTCATGAGGATTAAGCTCACCCCGGTGTGGCACTTGAAGCAGAGTTGCGCACAAAGTAACTGCTCACACACTTATATAGTTAAATAACAGTTAAATCAACAGCCGCCTCCCAGAGCAAGCTCACTGGAAGGGAGACGAGATGGCGGAAAGTGTTCTTTTGCCAGAACTTTCTCCGGGAGTTGGAAGAGGTGCTCCCGAGAGTCGGGGGCAAATCCAAGGAGCGCCAGTTCTCCACGGACCGGGCGTCTGCGTAACTGAGAGGATTCTGGTTTACGGGGCAGCATGTTCAAATTCAGGTCCAGAGCTGAACCTCTCAAGGCAATGAGGGAGACACAGAGTCCTTCCAGCTCCAAACAGAATAGGTGTTGGGCGAGCTATAAAGAACTCAGGCTGCCGAGGGGCGGGGTGGCAGGAGGGGCCGCCATCTCCCAGGTCAGCTCTAGACAAAGGCCCTATTCTTCCCCTAAACCTGCAGAGGCCAAAGATAAATTGTAAGGAGGAAACGGGGTGTCTGGATTTGAATCTGGAGCCACTGGCCTTCAAAGTCCCTGTTCTTAAGTGTTGGACGCAACAGAGGGGCCACAATGAGCCAGTGAGGGGAGGGAAGGGCAGACCTTCCTCACGGGGGGGCCACTAGGGACCCTTCAACCCACCAGCACCCACGAGAGCTGAGGCAGGATCTGTGTTCTCACTTGGAAGATGCAGGGTTGGGCCCAGAGAGGAGAGCAACTTCTGCACATCTTCTAGCAGGTTACCATGGTGATGTGGAACAGCTCTGGGCGTCAGACGGCCCCACCTTGGGCAACGCCTTCACTTCTGTGAGCCTGTTCTCTCCTCAGCGAGCTGGGGATAGCAATACCCTCCTCCTCCAAGTGCAGAGGGATTAAATTCTGACTCAAGGAACAGGCTCAGCGCAGCCCAGCCCTAGGAGATGCTCGACAAATGGTACCGGCATCCTGTGTGGGTGGGTCACCTGCCACAGGTTCTCAGCCAAAAAACAGGACTGGTTTTGTGTGTGCTTGTCTGGCGTGGGTGTCTGTGCGTGTGTGTGTCTGTCTGTAAGGTGAGGCAAGCTTCCCTCTGTCTCACCTGGCAGCAGGAAGCCAAGAGTCGGAGGCGCAGAAGACATGGGCTGTGGGTCTCCAGCTCGGAGCTGAGGCCTCCATGTTTCCACAGACTCCTTCTTCTGCCCAGGGTATGACTCAATTCCACAGAGATACGGGAAGAAGCAGCAACCCTAGAATTCTCTAGAAGCCTCTGGGTCAAACTGTGGACCCTACCCAAATCCTAGGGAGTAAGGCCTCTTATTAGTGAACTTACCTGCCGTAATATAAGATGGTTTCAGGCTTGATGGCTCCATCTAAGTGAACGTGTAATTCTACCTGCAAGGGGCAAAGGGAAGAGAGGGTGCACACACCCATGAATGCCTGGAAGAACTTTCAGAGTTCATATTAATATTAACCATAATAACCATTAATCAGCACTTAGCAGATACCACATACACGTTATTAAACTCTACGCACATTATCTTGTTTAATCTTCATCTGCGGGGTAGGTTTAATTGCTTTTCTACCTCTTTCACAGTTGAGAATGCTGAGGTTCAGAGAGGTTAAATAACTTGTCCAAGGCCACACAGCAAGCCAGTAATGGAAGTAGGATCCCAATCCAGTACCTTTGGTTTTAATCACAGGTGGTAAGTGGCAGAACTGGAATTCTAATCTGAGCCCAATCCTAAACCTGGTGCTCCTGAACGGGAGGCCAGCCATGGTCCCATGGGAGCTCCCGAGCCCCAGCCACCACACTAGGCCATCCTGCTCTCAGCCAACTCAATAAATGAAATCCAGCTTTAACACAAAGGGTTGACCACGGACTTCCTGGACTAGTGATTCAGTCAATATATTTTGAAAATCAGGCTCCATTTTCAAAAGTGGGAGTGACTCTTCAGCAAAGCTCATCAGGAATTGATATTAGGCAACACAAGATCTTTTCAGTACTCTAGAAAGGACACTAGATACTTAGCCGTCTGGATGACCATCTCCTACACGCTCAGCCCCACGAACAGCACTCTGCACACAAAGCCAAGAGTTGAAGGACAGGGAGGGGCTCGGGAAATAGCAGCCAGGCTGGACTCCCAGCTCTGCCCCTGCTCTGCCTGTGTGACAGACGCTCAATCTCTCTGAGCCTGTTTCCTCGACTGAGAAACAGTGGACGTTACTGTCTCCCTGTCCAAGAACAATTGTCGGGATTCACGAAGACACTGTAGGTGGACACGTGTGGCCCATGGGACATGGCCCCACCTCTCGACCAGGGTGTTTTCCATGAGCTGTTGAGAGAAGCACAGCAGGCAGAGGGAGACAGTGGGACGGGGCCCTTGCCATCTGCTTGTTCCAGGTCACAGAGGAAACTCTTCCTGGGCTTGTTCCAGGTCCAGAGGAAACTCTTCCTTTTCAGGGGGAGATCCTGAAAACTCTCGACTGACATTCCACTGGGGTGGGGCCTCCTCTGGAACTTAAGAGACCTGGACAAGAAAGTGGCTGCCCTGGCTGGGGAGGGAGCCAAGGGCATCACGGATACCCACATGAGCCGCCTCCTGCACAGGGAACCCAGCCCAGACCCGGGGAGGCCAGCGGGGACAGATCTGCCAAGTCCTCCTATCAGCAGGACATCCAAGTCGTCAGAAGTCATCTGGCCGGCAAAGGACCAAGCAGCACTCACACCCAGACTCGGAGTCAACTGAGCTGTTGGATTCCCTAACAAAATGAGCTCAATGCCCCGCTCGGCCAAATGTTTATTGCGTTCTCGAAAAATGCTCAACATCGGAAACACTGACACTTCCTGTCCAGGGACCTGCCAACCAGCTGCGTGACCTCAGACAGGGGCCTCACATCTAAGCCTCTGTTTCCTTATCTTTAATTACCTCCATAGCTGTGGTGAGGATCCAGCCAGAGAGGCAGGGCTGACTTGTGGTTAGAGCCGGAATCTCAGCTCCTCTACTCCCTCTCTGGGTGACCTGAGGAAAGTTACTTCACTTTCCGAGCCTCGGTGTCCCCCCCTCTATCCAACGGGGAGGATAACAAGCCCTCCTCTTAGGCTTTGCCATGTCAATGCATGCGATGTGCTTAGACCAGCTCTTAAAAGCAAACACTCAGTAAGCATCAACAAGAGTCCTTCGTTCAACAGGTGGTCAAGGCCCTGCTGGGGATGGAGAGCTAAGGTCAAGGAACAGAGGCCTGCTCCTGTGACACTTACATTCCAGGAAGAGCAAGAGATAGGAAGCTTCGCATCGATAAACGTACAATCGAAGCCATGACAACTCCTTGGAAAGCACACACGCAGTCTTACGAAAGAGGTAACAAAAGAAAGAACCTCACCCAGCGAGGCCAGCAATGGCTCCCTGGAGAAAGCAGAGCTTGAGCTAAGAGCTGGAGGATGAAGAACCAAGTAGGCAAAGGCAGGGGTGAGGCGGAAGGCTGGAAGAGCATTCCGGGCAGAGGGAACAGCACATGCAAAGGCTGTGCAGAGAGAGAGCGTGGTGGGTGAGAGGAAGTGGAACACGGGTGTGAATGAGGGAGGGGCGGTGGGACTGGAGAGGCCGCAGACACACACACGAGCAGCAGCAGCAATGTGACCACAGAGCGGGGGAAGGGGGCAGATGGGACCACAAGCCAAGGAACCTCTGGAGCCACTGGAAGACGGCAATGAATAGATTTTCCCCTAGAGCCCTCGAAGGGTGTATCATCCTGCTGACACCCTGATTTTGGACTCCATGTCAGTGAGAAAATTAATTTCTGTGGTTTTAAGGTACCCGTTATATGGTATTTGTTACAGCAACCACAAGAAACTAATACAGTTGGGTCCTGCCGGTGGCCGAGGAACCAGGAGAGCAGAACTATGTCCCTGGGGCTAAGGGAACGGGGCTCCTGGAGGAGCGGTCCTCAGCTCTGGCTGCCTCTTGAGAGCAACTAGGAAGCTCTGGAAAGTTATCAATGCCCAGGCCAATGAAATCACAAATCACAATCCTTGGGGGTGGGCCTGGCTTTTTTTTTTTTTTTCAATGCGAGGCCAAGATCAAGAACCACTGTCCAGAGGAACCAATCCAGAGGCCTAAGAGGACAGAATCCACACTGGAATAAGGTAAGAAGGCAAGGTAAGAAAATGGAGAACGTTTAGACCATCTTTTCAAGAATTTACCCCTGAAGGGGAAGAAAGAGCTTGGGAGGGGCTAGAGGTCGACGTGGGATAAGGGAAGTGCATTTCTTTTTAGGGTGGGCATGACCTGCGCATGTGTAAACGGTGATGGAGAAGACCGAAGTTCAGAGAGATGTCGCATGGGGTTGCTGAGACGGGAGGAGGGGTGAGAAAGTCAAAACCAGGCTTGGCCGTGGCGCCTCTGATGGGAAATTGGCCGTAAATCTGGCAGGTTGTCCCTCGTTGCTGTGTGCCCCGTTGTGGGTGGGGGGGCCGGTGTGGCTACTTCTGGTCAAGCACTTAAAACGCCAATGCAAGACTCCCTGGAGCCCTCTTCTCATTCTGGCATAGCAACTAGCAATGTTCAGGATGATCACCACCCACCTGCCCGGGTCCCTGCATGACTGTGATGAGCAGACTGACAGATGCATAGTGCGAGCAGGAATAACGGACATCTCTGCCGCTTGAGGCCCCTTAGACCTGAGGACGTTAGTTACTGCAGCACATCGTAGCCCATCCTGCCTGACATACCTTTCTGAACTCGTTACAAATTATGACAGAAAAATGAGCCAGGTACATGACAAAGAAAAACATAGGAAGCGGGGAGGCACAACTTAGAAAAAGTGTAGAAAAGATCATTTTGAGGTAAGGGGGCAAATAAAGGAGTTAGAGAGAAGGAAGGAGAGAAATGGTTCTAGGCAGAGGGAACAGCACGGGCTAAGTGTCTGCATCAGCAATCGGTCAGGGAATTGGCGAGAATGAGGTTGGTGGAGAGAGATGAGGCCGCAGAGAAAGTGCTCACAGGTCAGGGTTAAGGGGATCTACTGAGGAGCTTTAAATAGTGGAGTCACTTTTTTTTTTTTCTTTTTTTTTAGGAGAGGCAACCCTTGGTTGACCTCACAGATTGCAAGGACCTTGTTAGCTTACGATCCCTTATTTTTTTTTTTATTTGTTACGCCTACAGCACCTGGTCTTCCTAGGTGGTCTCCCATCCAAGTACTAACCGGGCCAACCCTGCTTAGCTTCCGAGATCAGACGGGATCGGGCAGGGCGGCAATGGCCGGCCGTAGACAGGAATCACTTTTCAAAAGCTTTTTCCGCTGCTGTGTGGGGAGCAGGTTGGAGAGAGCCAGAACAGAAGACAGCGCTGACGCAGGCATCCAGAGGGGGGACGAGCGTAACCGGGGTGGGGGTGGGGGACACGCCCACCTCATCAGAGAGCAGGCAGGTGCTCGGTGAGCACGAGCTGCCTAGTGCAGCAGAGCGTGGAGGGAAGGTCTCGGAGTCAGGCAGCAGGCAAGAGGCCCCTGGGGAGAGACAAAGCAGAACCCACCAGGTCCCACTCTCCTCCTCCAGGCTTCCTGGGAAGTTGCCCTGACACATTTCCAGGGAGGAGTAGAGATAGAAGCCACCCCCACAGGCAGCTCAAACTCAGGCAGGCCTCCAAATGACCTTTCTGGAAAACTGTGACTATCTGTGGAAAAGTTTGTCAGCCTGCCCTTGATGACGATGGGTGCAAGCTTGGAGACCAGGGTGGGGACCTTGCTCTGCTGGCCCCATTCAGATAAAAGGAGGAGCAGTGGCTTCTAACTACCATGTTCTAGACCATCTACATGCATTACCTTATTTCATCCTAACCACCAGTAAGGTAGGAACTTCACTCTCATTTTACAGATGGGGAAACTGAAGCTCAAAGAAGCATTTAAGGGCACAGAGTCAGTCAGTGATAGAGTCAGGATTTGAACCCACATCTCAGTTTTGACTCCTACTATATGTACTTTCTCTGCAGGCCTAGCTTCAGATATAAATAATACAGAAGTATTAACAGCAGTTGCTTACTATTATCAGACCCTTCTTTCATGTAATCTTAATCCTAATCAAGGTACACATTAGCCCCATGTTGCGGATGGGGAAATGGACCTGCCAAGCTGAACTCACAGCGTGTCGGTGACCTGCTCAGGGTTACACAGACTCATAGTGGCAGAGCTGGGCTGGAACTCAAGTGTCTCCAACTCTGAGCCCAAGTCCTGCCCACAGGCCACACCACCTCCCTGACAGGCCTCCTGACCTCTGTGGAAGCAGCTTATGCCCCATGCCCTGCATTTGCTCTCCGTGTGGCTGATTTACAATCAGAACTGCAGGAAATCCTCCCACATCTGAATAGGAAGCATCCCCAGTTACCAAGAAATATTTACTAAACGCCCATGAGGTGCTGGGCACAGTGGGAACATGGGGAAACACACTGAGTCTTTGTTCTCAGGAGATGTCAGCCAGACAGGTGAGGTCCAGGGAGGCACATTCACTTGCCCAAGGTCACCCATCCTCTTTCGGGGTCTATCCCAGACTACTTCTCCCCAGGGCTCCCCATGCCCTCCAAACACATCACTGTTGTTTCCATCCCACTGACTTTGAAATTCACTATGTCTATCTCCTCTATTATTAGTTTCTTAAAAGCAGGGACTTCATGTGATCATGCTGAACCCTCAGGCCCTAGAACAGGGCCTGGCACAGCAAAAAGTGTTCCTCCTCTCCCTGTCCTAGGTCAGCAGTGCTGTGTCCTCTCTCTGCCTCAAGGAAGGGGCTGACCTACCCCTGTGGGCTCGGCCCAGAACCCAGACAAGGCAGAGTGTCCGGGGTTGCCTGACCAGCCCCTGGAACCTGGGCACTGCAGTTGGAACCTGGATGACCCACGGTACAAACTGAGGGGCAGACGTCCCCCCATTCTTAGCCCTGCTCTTACCGATGAGCTGGGAAGTGCTAGGGGGCAGTGCCGCCATGGCCTCTCATCTGACTTTTGGGGTGAGGTCGGGAGACAGACCAACCCTGGGGCTGACAAATTGTTTCAGCCACACCTCCTCCGGGAAGTCCCCCGGGCTCAGCCCCATCTTGGCTCCAGAAGCTCTGAGGTACAGAAGGGGCAGAGCAGTTCCTCAGAGCTTTCTGCTGACTTGGGACCTGACTGAGCTCTGTTGCTGCTGTGAGCTTCCCCAGAGCTTTCATGGAAGTCAAGGTGTGTCTTCAGCCAGGGGGACATGGGATGAGAGCCTCAGAACTCAGGACAGTTATCCCCATTTTATAGGTGAGAAGACCGAGGCTCAGAGAGATTAAAGAACGTGCCTTACATCACAGACTGAGTGCCACAGCCAGGATGCTGTTTGACCCATGAACCACAATCAGAAGTCATAACCACAATAGACCCACTTCATCCTGCCTATCGGTGCTAAGTCAGTGCTGGTAAAATCTGAGTAGAATCATCAATAACCATGAGGAGGATGATCGATAACAGCCAGCATTGGTGGGCCCCCCATCTCAGCTAGGCCTGTACTTGGTGTTTTATGCAGGGTGGATACACATATGATCCCCATTTTACAGATGGGCAAACTGAGGCACAGAGAAGAAACTCACTTGGGCTCCTGAAAATAAGTAGGGATCAGCACTCAGATCCAGCTGGCCTGGCCCCAGCTGGTGCCCAAGTTTAAACTCCTTGTCTCTCTCTGTGGTCACAGGACACGAGTCTGTTTCCTCCTCTACTTTCCTGTTCTGGGCCTTAGAACCCTAACGGGTGAGGTGAGCCTGCCCCCAACACACTGGGTAAATATAGATTTGAAACTCACTCTGGCCCCCGGCCTACTCTTCTCTCCTGTCCAAAGCAAGGCCGTAGGCCTGCCCTTCCCTGCTACAGGGGACACTCCTTAGGGCAACTGGGCTCCTTCCGACCCAGACCAAGCCCACCCGAGGTCAGATATGGAATCAGGAGGCTGGCTGGTGTCCCCTGCTTTGCTGTGTGACCAGACACTTCCTCTCTCCGGGCTTCCACGAAACCCAGTCTCTGTTCCCTTCCCTCCCAACTGCCACACGAGTTGTAACGGTAAAGCGGCTCTTCCCAGGGGCATTTTTATTTTAACAGGTGGCTCTGGTAACTGCAAAAGCACAGACAGTCCAAAGCAGTACTGGCGACGGGCTTTGTGGCAGGAAGATGACCGGCAAGAGACAGGGCAGGCGGAGAGGCTTCCTAGAGTCCATTGCAGCCCCCACTGCAGTCCCGGGGAGGAAATGAAGACCCCAGGGCCTGCCGCTTGTCAGCCCGCACCAATCAGTACATCGAATTCCCCCCAGATCATGCTAACACCATGATCTTCGGGTTATCAGCTCATTTTACACAGAAGGAAGCTGGAGTTCAGGAAGCTGTCCACCTGAGCTCTTAAACCTGCTAAGGAGCAAGACAGGAGTTCCACTCCAATCTATCTGAAGTTCAAGGCTGCCCTGATTCTAACTTCTGCCCCACAAAGTGGGAATGGCAAGCTAGCCAAGCAGGTAACTGCATCCATGTCAGTTTCAGGTAGATCTGGGTTCAAGTCTAACTCTGCTGCTTCCTGGCTGTGTGACTTTGGCAAGTTCCTTCCCCTCTCTGAGCCCGTTTCCTCATATGTAAATGAAGAGACTAGGATCTAACCACAGAGGGCTGTCCCGAGCATTAAATGAGTGAATACATGCAAAGCAGTTGGAACGATGCCTAATTCAGAGTAAATATTCAAATATGAGAAAGATTTAGTCCCAATTCTCCTCGGCATCAGAAAGAGGCAGTTTAGAAACCATGCAGTTCCAACCTGGGCCAGCTCAGTCGCCAGTCTACAGCCTGGAGGCTGATTTTGAGTAGCCTTGAGCAAGTCACTTCACCTCTCCAGGCCTCAGTTTCCTCATCTATAAATAAGGAAAACATCTGCCTTGTCAAATTGTCCAGAGAATTCTGTGCGATAAATCATGGAAGGCACCAGATACCCACAAACATTCAAATGACAGCCGTTATTATGATAACAGGCATGTGATCAGCATTGCCCTCCCTGACAAAGAACTTCCGAGTGCCCCAAGCATTCGTGGGGATGAGGTAATCAAACCAGGTGGGCAGCTGTTTTAAGGCCTTGCCATTCAAAGTGTGGTTTGTGTTTTTAGCAGCATTAGGGTCACCTGGGAACCGATCAGAAGTGTAGCATCTCAGCCCCCACCCTAGACCTCCGATTCAGTCTGAAAATGAACAGAAGTCAGGTGATTTGAGGACACTGTGTATACTTGAAGTTTGGAAAACACTGCCCTGTTCTACCTTCTAAAAGCTGGCCAAGTACTGGGTCTCACCTGAGGCAGGTAGGAGAAGCCAGAAAGGCCTGCACTTGAGGCACTGGCACCTCCACCCCCACAGGCCTCTGCAGAGGTAGTTCCGGAAAGCTAGTTAGGGGCACAGGAATTTGAAGTCAGTCCCTGCTGGGCTCAAACTCCAGCTGGGCTACCTCCTTGCTGTGTGATCTTCCTAGCCTGCTTCATCCCTGTGCCTCTGTTTCTCCATTTGTAAAACAGAATGACACCAGCTACCTCAGAGTCACTATTATCAATTAATGCGGGTAATGTGTTCAAAATGGTGCCTGGCACAGAGCAATAATTCAACTCAATAACCACCAGCTACTCAGCTACTAATACTAGTGATTATTATCCGCCACACCATGGGAAGGCGGGGAGCTGGTTCTGGGTTACAGTGGCTCTGAGACTCATGCTCCTTCTGGCTTCCCCTGCTCAGGCACATTCCCTCCTCACGGAAACATAAAATTTATCACACCTCATGTACATAGTGACACTACGTTCACCTTCAAACATCCCTTGTTAACCTCCAGACACCCCGCAAGCAGGTGAAACCCATTTCCCAGGTGTAGAAATGGAGGCCCAGAGAGGGGAAATGACCTGACAGCTTGAATCAGAGGGTTGGGCGAGGCTAAAAATTGGTGATAACAGTAACAGTCCCTGCCTCACGGGGTTGTAAAAGTGTTACAAGGATTGAATTGGAGCATAAAGCAAGTTCTATAGAAATGTTACCTTTTATTCATCTCCATACTCCCACTTCACTCCCAATCAAGGTGTTTTGTCTGTTGCCTTGGGATTCATGACAGGGTACGGTGGTTCCCCAGCCCAAGAGCAGAGGGAAGCCAAAAACAGTTTTTAAAAAAAAAAAAAAAAAGGCCTTCAGAGGAAAAGCTGATGGGGCACAGGCATCCTGACAAGGTGTGGAGGAGGAGGCCTGGGGTGGGGAGGAGGGCTGCCCCAGCTCTCCCACATCTGGCAGGAAGTAGCTGAGCATTTAGCCCTGTGGTGGCTGCATCAGCAGTGGGGGAGGCTAGGCCTTATCCCCCGGGGGTCTCCCCTTCCTTTCTCTCTCCTCACACACACCCCAACATTCGCGACTTCCGCTGTCATCACTCACACCTGTTTCTCAGATGGGTAAGTTGAAGCAGACTGAGGCTCACTCCTTCCCCTGACCACCCCCAGCAGTCTCAAATGCTCCTAGCAGATGCATTCCGCTAGGCAGCCATCTGGGTTGCTCCCTGGATGGAATCTCAGTGCTCTGAAGCCCAACAAGGGGGCCTGAACTCTGCCTGACACCACAGTTCCCAGGACACCACAGCCGGTGGGAGGAGGGACAAGAGAGTATCCCTTGGGGCAAGTGAACCTTACCAGGGTCCAAGACCTATGGTTCACCCAAACCCTCTGCTCCTGGTGGCGGGACGGGGGTAGGGGGGCGCTGGGGGCGCTGCTCCCCCCTCCTCCCTTCTCTGGCATGGCTTGAGGTTCTGCATCCACAAACCTAGGCTCCTAGGCACTGACAAAACCATCAGTGTTAGAGTTTAAAGCTGTTTACTTTCACGGAGCGCTCAGTCCCACTAGATATGAGTGAAGATCCAGGACCCCACATTACAGCTGAAGTTCAGAGAGGTCAAGCCCGCTGCCTAAGGTCACACAGCCGCTCAGCGCCCGTGATGCTAGGATGCCCACCTGACAGACGCTGAAACCGAGACGAGGGGAGCCAAGTCAGAGGCAGGGGCCAGCGAGGGGTGCCTCTGGGTTCGAGACCCTCTCTCCCTCGCTGTCTTCTCATTAAACAGCCCAGAGGCAGAAGAGGGTCTGAGCTGAGGGGGGAAGGCGCCTGCAGGGGTTCCATTCGCTTCCGCGGCGTGGATGCCTCTAAGCCCTCCGGCCAGACAAGGAACCGGAACCCGGAGCCGGACCCGGAGCCGGAGCCCGCGCCCCCACCCGCGCCCGCGCTCACTTTGGGCTTGTCGAAGGCGGGCGTCTGGGTCATGGTGCCAGCGTGCGTCCTGGCGCTGCTCCCTCCGCTGAAGGCCGGTGGTCTCCGTGGGATCCGCGGCGGGTGC